TTTTTAAAGACGGTTTAGTTGGTAGTCTTTTAACCGTTACCATCGTACAGCTTGCCATCGACAGGGATTTCACTTTCATACCTTAGAGCCTAGATGGTCGCATACAGCGAGGTTTACTATACCAGTGGGAGACTTTGTACAAAAGTCGTTTGCTCGGGCACCTCTGTTCCATTCGTGTTACTACCGTGAACCAGTTGTGTTTGCATGGCTGTGTTTCGATTTGAAGGGTGGGATATGACAATGAAATTACAGGGTACAAAGGAATAACACCTGAGTTCTCAGGAATGGCAACGCATGGGGAGTATCATGGGCGAAACTGTATACTCTGTCATGTCTATGGTATTGCTCATGTCTATAGGTGACGGTTACCATTTTCCATCAGGTGGGCCGTTAGCTTGTTTACCATTCTGCAGTTGCATAAAAAAAAGGTTTGAGAGATGTTTTCTCCCACGAACAATTATGTTGTGGAGTGAGCTTCCTGTCGAGGGGTTTCCAAGAGACGATAGCATGGGTTTCTTCAAAAAAGGGGTAAAGAGGTTTCTTCAGGGTCGGTAATGCGCGCGTAATACCCCTGCTAATGCAGGCGTTCATAGGCATAACCACTTAACATCAAGTGGGTCGCATATATTTAACTATTTTATAATGAGGTAGTCGCTGTGTGGCTCCGGCATAGAATAGGCCACCCTTTCCATTCCCGTGGGTGTTGTAAGAGGCGACTAAGGGAGGGTGAGCGATGGGCAGCAGCGTCCCTCTAAAAACATCTCTAAAAGCCTAACTGCGGTTGCCAACCCGCCTGTCGCTTGGCAAGCAACTATCCTTATGGGAAAAACTTATATCGAGCAGCGGGAAGTTAATGGCTGAAATAATATAAAAAATAATAAGGTAGTAATAAACAATTAAACAATTTCCCCCTCATTATTAGGTTTTTTTAATGGATGATAATGGAATGGTTACCTCGCCTGCGCTATCGGTATACACCGGTGGGGCACTAGTGACAGATGATAGGTGAACATGAAGCAGGTCAGTTAGTTCATCGTGACAAATTCACTAGTGAATCACTCGTGACAGTTTCCGCGAGGAGGTCGACCTGATAGGGTATATTGCTAGTATTAAGGTTGCTAATCCCATTATAAACAATCCCTTTACCCCCTCATTATTAGTTTTTTTTTGATGGGTGAAAATGGTATGGTAACCCCGCCTGCGCTAACGGGATACGCTGGCGGAGCACCAGTGAAGGGTGATAGATGAGAATGAAAACAGGCCAGTTAGCCCATCATGATGAATTCATCAGGAATTAACCATGATAGTTTCCAGGGGAAGCGCGAGGTGGTCGACCTGGTTGGGTATATTGCTAGCAATGGGATTCTCAGTATTTATTAATAACAATCCCTTCCCCCCCTCCCTCATTATTAGGTTAGGACCACGGAAGTTACTTTAACAGAATGCGTTCAAAATTAAATGATTGGAACTAATAACTCTTTTATATTGAAATGTAAAACGTTAATTTTTAATTATATGTGCGATGACATAGTAATTTTCAATAGAAATATACGCTTAATTTTGGCAATTTATAAATTTCACGGTCATTGTTACCATAGTACGTTGTTTATTTCCTGCGCCAATGATATGGCAGTATACTTTACAATCTACTTCTGAGGTCCCATGATCGATTCCCAGTCAGGACGATTTAGGAAGGAGGACTCCTAGAATATTACTAGTGATTTTTTTTATACAACTTAGAATGGCAAACAAGCTGACGGCCCACCTGATGGAAAGTGGTAACCGTCGCCTATAGACATGAACAGTACCATGGACATAATAGAGTATACTGTTTCGCCCATGATACCCCCCATGCGTTACCATTCTTGAGGACTCAGGTGTTATTCCTTTGTACCCTGTAAATTTACGCCATATCCCACTTTTCAAACCGAAACATAGTCATGCAAGCACAATTGCTTCACGGTAGAAACACGAATGGGACAAAGGTACTCAAGCAATCGACTTTTGTACGTCTAAAATGAATTGTGGTCAACATTATATTTTGTGTACAATAAAGAAAAAAGTTGGACAGAAAAACTAATGAATGAGGAAGTCCTGAAAAGAGTGAACGAGAAAAGAACAATAATTAAAATAAGAGAGAATAGAAGAGGCAAAATGCTGGGCCACCTTATACGACATGACGATTTTTTTAAGAGCATAGTAGAAAGAAAAATAGAGGGCAAAAAAGGAAGAGGAAGACCGAGGAATAACTACATGGGACAGATAAAAGAAATACTAGGTGTCATGTCGTATAAGGAGATCAAGGATATGGCCTGGGATAGAGCTGGTTGGAAGAAGATGCATGAATTAGTTGCACCGATAAGAGGAAAAATGAAAGAAATCTCTTAAATGAAAAGAATAAAAAAAGTCTCCCTCTAGTTAATATTACTAGTGATCCGGTCTGACTCATGTACATAGTACTCTTCATGCGTTGCCATTCTTGAGGACAATGGTGTCATGAAGATATCCGTAAAAGAACCGAAGTAATCAACATAGCGTAGCTGCTGTCTCGAAGAGCCGACAACTGACGAAGAAAAAAGTTCTTGACTGGCGACCCTGTACGAGAAACGCAGTGTAGAACGACTCCTTACTAGATGGAGCGATGGCGTCAAATGCGTTGCAGGGAGTCAGTAGATGTAGGTGGCTCAGGACCATTTTTTTTATACAACTTAGAATGGCAAACAAGCTGACGGCCGACCTGATGGAAAGTGGTAACCGTCGCCTATAGACATGAGCAGTAAGTACCATGGACATAACAGTCAGACAGATAACCATTCCTTATGCCAGTTTATGGGGGAAGCCTATGTTCAGCAGTGGACGGATGGCTGAGATGATGATGATGACGGTGTCATGTTGTTTCTCTTTTAATTGGGAATTAAAATAGATATTCGTTTAATACCTATTGCATGATTAAATATAATTTACATGTACTGTTTTCACCGACTCTTTATGGTCGAATTAGTGAACTTGACATTGGAATAAGAAGAAAGATCGATATTAATTGATTTTTTTATGATCTTTTAACATACACGGTTGTATTCTTAACTAGGTTACGCATGCTACTTTACGTGATATTCACATATTATAATTATTCTTATGTATTTATTAGATACCCACGATAGCTTTACAAGAAAACTTTTGACATGTGGCCGTAGCTATGGGGTGAGGGGTGGGGGGTTTGAGGGACAATGCCCTACCTTAAAACGCCTAATGCCCTACCTTAACATTAAAGACCCCAAGAAAATGAAACAGATTCATTTTTTCAAAATCACTTAATTATGGCTTACTTAATCATGGCCACTTTATTATAGAGAGAAGTGTGGACTGAAAGACGATGAAGATGAAGAGATGGCCCGTTCTATTCCCGGACCACGCGGCATGATTCATTACTATGATGTAAATCTGTTCAATGTTTTATGGATCATTTACTTTTCTATAATCTAGTATCACGTAGAGAAATATTTGAGAGGATTTAACTCCCACTAAAGGTTGGTTTTTTGAATAAGCTCTTTAGTCAGGATGCTTTAGTTACTAAAATGTGTTTATGTATGTATATATACGATAAAATATATATTCTTTATTGCACTTAAACAATATATGCGACGATTAGTTTAACAACTTGTTAGCAAGGGAGAACTTATCTCTGAAAGAGATCTCTTCCAGCCAACCCAGTGTAGTTAGAGAGAAAATAATTTAATTTGGGTAATCCAGTGCAGGAAAGGTACCGGTGAAAATAATGTAAATACAACAAACACTATAGTGAATAAATATATAAATAAATACGTAAATAAGTAAATAGATAAATATATATACATATGTATAAAATATGATATAATATAGTTACATAGTATATATAGTTATGTATAAACTTAACTTTGTCTAGTTCTTTTTGTTTGAAAATTGTCACAATATTGTACACCGCTCTACTCGCTGACATTGATTCTATTTTCCACTTTGGGTTTGCTGGAAGAGAACTGTTTTAGAAACCTTTGTACATTTGCTTTGTACAATAAAGTATAAGTAAAAAAATTAAAAATAAAATATGAGTTTTTAAAAAAGGATGTTAAAATTTTTTTCTAAGTAAAGGCGTGTTCTTATTCGTATAGATCTTATCGATTTTTTATTTTTAAAATGAAAATACGAGTGAACTTTTTGCCAGCTAATTATCATATTAGCTGACTCGTTTTTTTATACTTCTATATACTTCGTTCTATATACTTACGCATAAAATGTATCTTTAATAAATAAAATGAGTGTTTACGTATTAAAAAGATGCAAAAATTATAAGACAAAATAAATATAGAAGTTATAAAGGAATCACTCATTATCACTATTTATCACGCAAAATTTTATGAAAAAGTTGACCCGTATTTCTCGAAGCATTTCTATAGAGACACTCTATCTATATAATGTAAGATATATAAACAAAAATTCAGACCAATTAAGAATCTGCTCTTTTGGAAGTCGTTTAAGAAAAGACAAATTGAGTAGATGTTATAGACAAGTAACGCAAAGGTAAAAGATTGCAACATATGTTGGTACCTATTATTGCAAACTTTTAAATAATTTAAATAAAATAATTAAAACATTAACCTGAGCATTTCATTCGCACAGTACAATAGTTATTTTGTTAAACTCTTTGACATTTGCCACTATCAGTTACAAATATGTCTGGACTGCGAAAGAACACCCATTATAGAGACATCTGAATAGAGGCAGCCTTCGTTTTATTGTGTTTTACGCAAGCGGAGCCCGGTCGAGACGCAATGTATTTAATTCTGTCTAATTACCGAATCTTCATTAATTTGTCAGCCGCCACAACGCGCGGAAAATCATTCCAACACAAAGACCTATGCATCTGCTATGAAAGCGAATGTCACGGGGTCTCACTAAATTGGCGGTAATAATGTGGGAAGAGCTTATAAGCGTGGTCTATGGTTCGCACGCGTACATTCGCCTTCCATTCGCAGTGCATGCGCATTCCATTTTTGAATTTGAAAAGTTAGACGACCATTTTTAAATTTTTGAAATTGGAACGTGATATTTTTTTATGGATACACACATCGCAGTGACTGTAGTGTTGTGAATACAAGTTTTTCGCATTTTACTTCGGTCTCCTGCCATCTTCTGTATAGAAAAAGAAGAAAACATTAAATTATTAAGGTAAGTGTTATTTTTTTAATTTATTTTTTTAACATTATGTGCTTTATTTATATTTTATATAAAAAAAATGAATTGGGTATGAAAAAATAATTTTTTTAATCATTTGGAAAATAAAAAAAAAAACTGATTTAATTCCTAGGCATTTGTTTTTAATTTTTTTTCCTAATTAAAGGCATACATTTATTAGATTCTAGGCAAATGTGCAACAGTCTATTTTACAAGAAAACAAAAACAATGAACTCATACAAACATAGGCTTTCTCACGTGTTTTTTGTTGTATTACCATGTGCAGTTATTGTCATTTCATTCAATCTGACGTTCATTCAAGATTTTTAATAGATTATTATGTTTTTTGTTTGAGAATTTATTTCATTATTTCAATAATAGTTTGTGATTTTTTTACAATATGTATGGAGATACTTTATTTACCTAATCTAAGCTTTATATATCATATATTCATAATTCACATCAAAGCAAGTTTTTATAATATATTAAAAAAAGTTTAATAACAAACAAAAGTTTCAAGTTTTCTCTTGTTTGTTTTTTATTTTTCTTATTTTTTTTACGTGATATAAACTTAATATGTACAAGTCGATTAAAAATAAAATTGTTTTTATAATAAACTTATAATAAAACTTTTTTAGACATTGAATTTTTAACCTGTGAAAATAATATGTTAACTACACATATTTTTTTGCATGAATTTTTCTATGCAACGTATTTCGATATAAAATTTTATTTTATTTATTTAAGAACATCTATTGCATTTAATGACAATAAAAAGAAATGAAAAAAAAAATGATTCAAATATCTAATATACCACTTATTTTTATGCTCTTCTAAAATAAAATCACATATTTTTTAACTTTATAAAAGTGCAAAGTTGACTCAGTGGTAAGTTGCAATATTTATAATGTATAATATGACAAATGGACAGAATAACAAATGAATATGACGAAATTAAAAGCTTTTAACCATGAAACCATAAAATATTATATCAATTCTGCACACTCGACCTTGTACGCAATAGTACGCATATTCACGCATAGATTAATAACAGATTCAGAGACGCTTCTTTCTGTCACTTAGAAGTAGGAGTAATATATAGTTATTCCATATATATTTGCATATATAATTTTTTTTTATGCAACTTAGAATGGCAAACAAGCTGACGGCCCACCTTATGGAAAGTGGTAACCGTTGCCTATAGACATGAGCAGTACCATGGATATAGCAGAGTATACTGTTTCGCCCATGATACCCCCCATACGTTGCCATTCCTGAGGACTCAGGTGTTATTCCTCTGTACCTAGTAAATTCACGCCATATCCCACCCTTCAAATCGAAACACAGTCATGCAAACACAACTGCTTCACGGTAAAAACACGAATGGGACAGAGGTACCCAAGCAATCGACTTTTGTACAAAATCTCCCTCTGGTAAATTTACACAATAGACAAATACTGTAAGCTATACCTAAGCCACTTTTTATTTTAATTCATGCAAGAAATGCTACGGGTACTTATTAGTATTATACAACTATAAAATCTGAAAGGAATACATTAAAATAATTTGAATTAATTGTACTTATATTTATTTAACTTTGCATAATAATTCGCATAACCTTAATGTTACCAACAATTATTGCACATTATTATTTCGTAATTAAATATTTATTTAAATAAGTTAAATATTTATTATTTAAATTATATAATTTGCAACTAAGACATTTGAAATGTATATCTAAATTATAGAAAGTTATACATAAGTTAAATTAGGAATAATTAGTTTTGTTTCAAGAGAGTGTATGAAATAGTTTCATTGAAATTGTACTTGCATTTTTTCCAATTTTTTTTTCTTTTAGATTTTCCTTAGAGATTTTGCCATGTAAGCAAAGCTACTTGGTTCGAGGAAATTATATGATAAAGTTTCCCTGACATTACAGCAATATACTGAGTACAGGCCTCGTTTTGATGAATATTGCGACGCACACACTCATTCATATACACAAACACACACTCATACATACACACACACACACACACACACACTCACACACACACACACACACACACACACACACACACACACACACACACACACGCACGCACACACACACACACACACACACACACACGCACGCACACACACACGCACACACACACGCACACACACACGCACACACACGCGCACGCGCGCGCGTTCTACACATATTCTGTGCTGAGACTGCTGTTATGTAATTTGCATTTTTTTATCTTTAAATATATATATTTTTTTATTTTTTAATTCCATATCTCTTATTATATATCTAACTATCTCTTCTATTTAGATATTTATAGTTTATGGTTACTAAAATATAGCATTATGATATGCATTTATTGATTTTTCTAATACGTTAACAATTACAAAGTCAGTTATATACTCACCGGGCCGATCACTCACTCATGATTAAGGATCACGAATTGATCCCGAAAATAGTCGAGCTTTTTTATCTAATTACACGTATGTAATATCATGGGCGAAACAATATACTCTGTTATGTCCATGGTACTGCTCATGTCTATAGGCGACGGTTACCACTTTCCATCAGGTGGGCCGTCAGCTTGTTTGCCATTCTAAGTTGTATAGAAAAAAAGTTAAACCGGTTGTTATTATATTAAAATATAATTAGCTATTTTATTTATCTTCAAGTAATAATGTAATCTTGTATTTATAACGGTATATCGAAATAATTCGACCCACAAATAAGCTAACAATGGAGTCGTATCTCAGGTGAGCTTATTTTCGTAATACGAACTTACATAATGATTTTATAGTCTACATTTATAAGGTGAATCGAGGAAGTGTCTCGTATGTTATCATCAATACATATAATAAAATCGTAATTGGTCGCTGTCTGTACATGGAAGATGTATAAGATATACTATATTATAGGGCAGCTTTATGAACGCATAGAACTCGATATAATGATTTTTAGACTTTTTGTTTGTACACTTTTGTGCATGCTAATCTCAGAAATGGCTTAACTGATTTGAATGAGGTTTTCACTGATATGTTGCGGTTTACTATACTTAACATTTAGCGTTTATTTTATTTTAATCGGTTGATAAATAAAAAAGATATATCAATCTAAAGAATCACACATAAATTGTTATAAAATAACCGATCAGTTGAATTGGCTGAAATTTTTTTTCATTATACGAGTATGTATTGACTTTCGAAAATTCTGTCTACTCATACGAAGCCGGGTCGGATCGCTAGTATTTAATAAAATTATATCTATCTTGTATGTCTTTTTTCTTTTCATTTAAGAGTTTCCTCTTGTCGGTGCAACTAATTCATGCATCTTGTTCCAGCCAGCTCTATCCCAAGCCATACACTTGACCTCCCTATACGACATGACATCCAGTGCATCCTTTATCTATCCCATGTAGTTATTTCTCGATCTTCCTCTTCCTCTTTTGCTCTCTACTTTTCCTTCTACTATGCTCTTTAAAAAATCGTCATGTCGTATAAGGTGGCCCAGCATTTTGCCTCTTCTATTCTCTATTGTTTTAATTAATGTTCGTTTCTCATTCACTCTTCTCGGGACTTCCTCATTCGTTATTGTTTATCTTCTTATTATTCTTATCCTTTCCATTCTACTCTATGTCCACATTGTATGTATGTCTTTACTAGAGAGATATTTAGGAAAATTTTATAAAAGGTGTCTTAAGAGTAACAAATGCCAAAAACGTTGTGTATAGGCTCTGACGGAAGACCAACGTCGGTGAGTCGTAAGGACTCCCGACGTTTACTAAGTAAGAGCCTTTTTACTGACCAAAATTTGTTTTTATTGTTAGCTATTATATACCTCGCCAGCGAATACCGTAGTGGATCCATTAAAAAAAAAATTATAAAGAACAATATACGTTCGAAAAAGTTATAAAACAAAAAATGATTTTGGTATTTTAACAGTCATGATTGTGTCACTTGTTAAAATTTAAAATCATCAATTAGTAACTCAATATGCCAACTGAAGGGCGTAGATTCCCGCAAGCCATCTCAATCACATTTATCACAGATATCAATCGTTGAAATTTCTACTCTATGACTGATTGTCAGAATGTAATTTTTTGTATGACACGACAGTGCCAAATTGCCCAACGACTGTTATGTGATTTTATATTAATGATGCTCCATGTATTGAATGACCTGTAACTAGGTCAAAATGTAGCGAACCCGAGGTTTTATGACAGAATACCTAATAGTGCAGTTCATGTGCGTAATGACTTAACTCGGAATTTATTACTGTACGGGGGAAGTAATTATTATACAGCTAAAGTTTTTTAATTCTACTATACTTTTAATTTACTTTTTTATTTATTTATGGCAACAAATAGTCATTTAATAATAGTAATATAATATATATTAAATTACAATAATGTTTTAATAAAAAAATTAATTAAACTAATAAGCAGTAAATTTATGATCCGTACCGGCCCTTAAGGCCCCTATGACACTTACGGTATTTCCGCATTGGTTTAACAGAGATATCCTTTGAGCCAGGTACAAACCGGAAATATATATTATAGTTTTATAGCAATACACCTTAGAGTGCTAATAACAGTATTTTAAATATAGAATTTTTATTAATGAAGTTCCATATATGTATGTTGTGACGGTTCGACTATAGTACAATAGGTTTAATACCATAAGTACATAGAAAAGAAACAGGGGTTCCTATGGGTGACCGCTGCGAAAGCTGAGCTATTTAATATAAACAAACTTTAAAGTCAAGGTTCACAATAGTATACAGAGAAGACGTTACCATATATGAAATATTGACACAGAAGGGAAACTCCTTTGATGTGTTTCCAGAGTGTAGTGGACGTAACAAGAAAATTAAATAAATTAAACAAAAAAATATTATATTTTATATTAACCAAATTATAGTTTACCTTTTTATCATCAGGTGTAAAAAAGATACATACAACACAGTTTAATAAGGTTTATGAGAG